AGGGATGAGACCAGTGGAGTATCTTAGATGGCTGCTGACAGGCTTTTAAGACCCCAGACGCTGCTCTTGGTGAAGACTTTTGATGAGCATAAGTGTTTAATTTTTAGAAGATCCCAGTTATCTAGCTTATCTTCTGTAGTTTGTGTGTTGTTGGTTATGGTTTGTATCCTGTTAATGCCGTGTATTAGGGCCTCTAGCATTGAGCCTATTTTTTTCTTTTATGAACATTATAGTTTTTGGGTTTATATTTAGGTCTTTGGTCCATTTTGAATCAGTTTTTGTTGTATATGGTTGTGAGGTATGGGTCTTGTTTTGTTTTTTTTGCAGATGGACATCCAGTTTTGCCAGCACCATTTGTTAAAAAGGTTGTCTGTTCCCCATTTGATAGACTTTGGGCTCTTGTCGAAGATCAGGTGGCTGTAGGTGGATGGATTTACATCTGGGTTCTCAATTCTGTTCCATTGGTCAGTGTATCTGTCATTGTACCAGTACCAGGCTGTTTTGACTATCGTAGCTGTATGGTAGGTTCTGAGGTCAGGTAGTGCGAGTCCTCCAACTTTATTTGTCTTCTTCAGTAGTGCTTTACTTATCCAGTTCTTCTTCCCTTTCCACATAAAGTTAATGATTAGTTTTTCCATCTCTTTAAAGAATGTTGCTATTTGGATTGGGATTGCATTGTATTTGTAAATTGCTTTGGGTAGAATTGTCATTTTCACAATGTTGAGTCTTCCTATTCATGCGCATGGTATGTTTTTCCACGTATGTAGATCCCATTGGGTTTCTTGCAGTAGTGTTTTGTAGTTTTCTTTGTATAGGTCTTTTACATTCCTAGTTAGATTTATTCTAAGTATTTTATTTTTAAGTGTTTTATTTTTTTAGGAGCTATTATTAATGGTATTGTTTTCCTAATTTCATCGTTCTCTTTATTGGTATATAGGAATCCAACTGATTTTTGTACATTTATCTTGTATCCTGCTACTCTGCTGAATCTATTAGTTCCAGTAGTTTTCTTGTGGAGTCTTTAGGGTTTTCTATGTATAATATCATATCATCCGCAAACAGGGACAGTTTAACTTCTTCATTACCAATTTAGATACCCTTTATTTCTTTTTCTTGCCTTATTGCTCTAGCTAGGACTTCCAGCACAGTGTTAAATAGGAGGTGATAAAGGGCATCCTTGTCTTGTTCCAGTTCTCAAGGGGAATGTGAAACACAATTTTTGATAATCAATCTCTTTGAAACCAACAAATAAAAATCACCAGAAGAAATTGTGTTTTCATCTTAAGATAGGCCTTTCTAGTTTGTTCATTCACTGTCATCATCGTCATCATCATCATCCGACTTCTGGAACCCTTTAAAGTTCGATCCCTTGTCGCTTTCATCATTGCAATGTCTCAGAGCTGCCTGCAGACCCTCTTCTGTGACCTCTGAACTGAAGTCATTATCACTGCCTTTGGTGTCTTCATCTTTGTCATTGGTATTCTACTGGTATACATTCCCAGCCTTTCTAAATGTGTTGTGGATGGTTTCTGTGGTTATTTTCCCCCAAGCAGAAGCCACCCACTTGCAGACTTCTGTAAACATTGCCTGCTTCAGTTGTCCTGATGGTGCCTGCTTCAGTTGTCCTGAAGGTGTGAACTCATAATCCTGTATGGTTCTAAAATTTAGATATATAAACTGAAAAAATGTACACAATATAATCGATAGTTGGCTGGTTCTAGTAAATAGATCGCAGAATTCAAACGTGAGGTATACAAGAAGTCTTTTTATATGCTCGCAAGCATATGGCAAAGGTGACTAAATGATCATTGATCAAAGACACTGACGCTAATAAGACATAATTAGACTATGAAATAAGCAGACCTAACATAGCTTAGGAGCCCTGGTGACGCAGTGGTTAAGAGCTTAGCTGCTAACCAAACGGTCGGCAGTTCGAATCCACCAGGTGCTCCTTGGAAACTCTACGGGGCAGTTCTACTCTGCTGTATAGGGTCCCATGAGTCGGAATCGGCTCAACAGCAACAGGTTTTTTTTGTTTTGTTTTTTTTTTTTAAACAGAGCTTAATGGTTTCACTTAATATGATACAGTAAGGTTTTCACATTCAGCTGTTGAGCCAAGAGTGATTGTGTATCAGTTTTGCTTTGTCTACCTCTTTAATTAAAATTCATAGTTGGAAGACAACTATGATAATTATGTCAATGCAGACTGAATTGAGATTCCTGTTGATAGCTACTGGATGCCATTGATGCCAGTGCAGGCTTCTCTTTCTTTATGATTCCAATTGATAGCAGGTGATTTATGGACAGGCTTCAGTAGGTTCAAGGTTCTGAGTGATGACTCAAAAGCTATGGGGATATAATTTATCAGCTTAAATCAATAGTAACAGACACACAGCTTCAATTATTTATTTTCCTATTACCAGGGTACTACCAACCTCAATCCATGACTTCTTACCATAGCTTATACTTTTATTATACAAATATAATCAAAAGTAACATTTTTGGAATGAAGGTGAATGAGGCTGAAATTCATGTCTGGAAATGTCACAAGACATGGTATACATGGGTGCACTATGCTAGAACTTTTTTACATAATTTCATCATTTCTGCATGTTATGTGTGTGCATTATTTGCATGTGCATGCTATTTGCAAAAAATATGGTAAGTGTAATCTGTGAACACAGAATGTCCTTCCATTTGTTTAGTAGCCTATGTTTTTTGATCATCTTTTATAGCCCTTTACCACTTCTGTCTGTGCTGCAGTTACTTTGACCTTTAGAAGACAAGGAGTCCCATCTCTGACCTGTGCCGTCTTTGCTCTGCACACACTCAGTGTTTGCTCAGTTCTGCTGTGGACCGTAAGGTGGAAGGAGGGCACTAAACCCCAGAGCCTCCCACCTCTTTCACAAGCTGTGCCTCTCAAAAAACTGTGTCACTTTCCAAGACACCCCAACCTCTTAGTGAGGCTTTTTCTTCTAGAAGTCTGCTATTTTAATAAAGAAAGCTTTGGTCATATTACAAGTTGGTTGGTTTTTCTTTTAAGCTTGTTGTTAGTTGCTGTCAAGTTGATTCCAACTTGTGGTGACCCCATCTGTGTGAGAGTAGAACTGTGTTCCATAGAATTTTCAAGATTGACCTTTTGGAAGCAGAGTGCCAGGCCTGTCTTCCAAGGTTACTTTGTGTGGGTTTGAACAGCCAGCTTTTCAGCTAGTAGTTGAGTGCTTAACTGTTTGTGCCATCCAGGGACTACTTTCTTTTAAACTGGGCCTTTTTAATGGTTAGGTTACTTCCAAAATCTTTGGAAGTAAGATCCCTTCCAGATTTCAGAAGGGCTGTGTTTGTTTATTTTAGCATTGTTTATATTGTTCCTTTAGTTTTATTGCTTTTTATCTGAAACGAGTACTGCCAAGCATATTCAGAAGTTTTATTTTCACTATATGGATGCCAGTGGCTAGCGCGCTTTCCCAGAGTCACAGGGACCTTGTTGAACTTTCAGAACCCAGATGAGTCTTTGGGAATGGAGCTGGGTCTAGTGGAGGCCGTTTTCTTCCCAGCTTAGACGGAGAGGTCAAGCCTCTGACTCTTAGTTGGTGGGGGCTCTGGGGGAGGAGGGCCTGAGACTCTTGGCACCTAGGCTGTGGGATTAGCTTCCTTCTTGCTGTGGTCTTAATAACCTCATCTGCTTCCCTCCTGGCTGTAATGTTGCTCTTCAGCATGCTTTTGAGTTTCCTACAGTAAAACAAGCACTGTATCAGGTAAGTCCTGGTACTCATGAACAGCCTGTGGGGCCAACTGCAAGTGATTTCCCTGCAGAGTGTTCCCACTGTAGTGACTTCATCTGCTTCAGGGGTTAAACCTGCTTGCCTGCTGACACTGCAAGACTTCTTTCTCTTGGAGAATGTGTTCTGAACCAGCAGAACATGGCACCGCCCCCTTGGGAAGCATCCCAGCAGCAGATGCCTGGCAGCCTGCTTAGGGGAGGAGTAGCAGTGCACTCTTTGCTTTGTTTTTAATTTTATTGTGGTTTAGATGAAAGTTCACAGTGCAAATTAGTTTCTCATTCAAAAATTCATACACAAATTTTGTGATTTGGTTGCAATACCAGCAATGTTCAGTACTCTCCCCCTTTCGACCCTGGATTCCCTGTGTCCATTCATCCAGTTTTCCTGTCCCTTCCTACCTTCTCGTCTTTGCTCTTGGGCAGGTGTTGCCCATTTGGTCATTTGACTGAACTAAGAAGCACATCCCTCACGTGTGTTATTGTTTGTTTTATAGGCCTGTCTAATCTTTGGCTGAAAAGTGGACTTCAGTAGTGGCTTCAGTTCTGAGTTAGGGTGTCTGAGGGCCCTAGTCTCGGGGGTTCCTCCAGTCTGTGTCAGACCAGTAAGCCTGATCTTTTTGTGTGTGTGAATTTGAATTTTGTTCTGCATTTTTCTCCTGCTGCCTCTGGGACCCTCTACTGTGATCCCTGTCAGAGCGGTTGGTGGTGGTAGCAGGGCACCATCTGGTTCTTCTGGGCTCAGGCTGGTGGAGGCTATGGTTCATGTGGTCCGTTAGTCCTTTGGACTAATATTTTCCTTGTATCTTTGGTTTTCTTCATTCTCCATTGCTCCGGACGGGATGGGACCAGTAGATGTATCTTAGATGGCCGCTTGCAAGCTTTTAAGACCCCAGATGCTACTCACCAAAGTAGGATGTAGAACATTTTCTTTATGAACAACGATGACCTAGTTGTCCCCCGAGACCATGATCCCCAGCCCTCAGCCCCAGCAACTCGGTCCCTCAAGCTATTTGGATGTGTCTAGGAAGCTTCTATGACTTTGCTTTGGTCAGGTTGTGCTGACTTCCCCTATATTGTGTGCTGTCTTTCCTTTCACCAAAGTTAACACTTGTTTACTATCTAGTTAGTGATTTATCTTCTCTATCTCTCCCCTCCATCTTAACCATCAAAGATGGTTTTTTTTCTTCTGTGTGTAAACCTTTCTCTGTTTTGTTTTTAGGACTCCATTCCTGTGGCCACCTCCCTCCTCGGAGACACTTCCGACACGACGTCCACTGGCCTTGCCCAGCGCTTAGGTACGTACTGGCAGGCCTGGGACCGCCAGGTGCTTGTACTCATTTCCTGTGAGATCAGTCCTGTGGGCACTGTCCCGTGTAATGGAACCTGAAGCAAATCACTTAGAAGACCCTGTATTAAAAGAAAATTTAGCTCATTGTCCACTAGGTAAATGCAGACATGTATGTTGGGTCTTTGTTAGCTGGACATGTGCTCACTGCTACTATCCCATCTGTTGTGGCTGCTGTCCAGCTGATGAAGAACAGATCTATTTCATTCCTCCCACGAGCGCATTTGTCCTCCTGCTCAGGAATGTCATGGAGCTAGGAGGAGGGTAGGTGATGCCACACTGCCTAGTGGGTAGGGGCTCAAGGTTACCTCCCAGGCTCTTGTGGGGATGCGGTGGAGCCCAGGGAGAGGGTGCCACTGCCGGACAGGAAGGACTGCCCTTGCCTTTCAGTGTGCTGCTCTTTGCGGCTAGAGAGGAACAGGGGGCTTGGCTAACGGGTGAGTATGGAGTGGGCAGAAATACAAAGCATGAGAGAGGGAAGGCCTACCCCTTCATACGCTTCTGCAGTTCCCAGACAGTCAGGTGAGAAGGGCATGTGCCTGCTAACCCCAGCATGAGTGCCCCTGGTCACTAGGCAGTCACGACTCCCAGAAACCACCAGCATGGAGGCGCCTTCACTTCCTCTGGGGCCCTTCCTGAGTCCCCGGTCTGCTCATCTCTTAGCCAGTGACTAAGCCCCCACTAGTCCTGGTGTGGAGGTATCCAGGGGACTGACCCTAGACCCTCATGTGGAGGAACTTACGTTGTAGGGCAACATAGAAATGCCATATCTGTAAAAATAAGGACATCTATCGAGGGCTTGTTCTGTGCCAAGCACTGCATTACGCACTTCATACGTATTATTTCTTTAAGTCTTCACCAAGTCTATGAGGCATTCTACTCTGTTCTGTAGGGTCGCTATGAGTCAGAGTCAACTCGATGGCAATGGGTTTGGTGTTTTGGAGCCCTGGTGGCGCAGTGGCTAAGAGCTCAGCTGCTAACTAAAAAGTTGGCAGTTGGAATCCACCAGCCACTCCTTGGAAACCCTATAGGGCAGTTCTGCTCTAAGGGTCGCTATCAGTCGGAATCGACTCAACGCAATGTGTTTGGTTTGATTGTCTATTAAGTGTACAGTAGCATTATGTCTGAAAAACAATGTATGTACCTTAATTAAAAAATAATTTATTGCCAAAAAATGCTAACTATCATCTGAGCCTGCAGCGAGTCGTAATCTGTTTGCTGGTGGGGGGTCTTGCCTCGATGTTGATGGCTGCTGACTGATCCAGGGTGGTGGTCGCTGAAGGTTGGAGTGGTTGTGGTAATTTCTTAAAATTAGACAACAATGAAATTTGCCACATTGATTGACATGTCCCTTCACGAAAGATTTTTCTATAGCATGTGATGCTGTTTGATAGCATTTTACCCACAGTAGAACATCTTTCAAAATTGGAGTCAGTCCTCTCAAACCCTGCCACTGCTTTATCAACTACGTTTATGTAATATTCTAAAACATTTCAACAATGTTCACAGCATCTTCACCAGGAGTAGATTCCATTTCAAGAAACCTCTTTTTTTGCTCATCCATAAGAAGCAACTTCTCGTCCATTAAAGTTTTATCATGAGATTGCAGCGATTCAGTCACATCTTCAGGCTCCACTTCTAATTCTAGTTCTCTTGCTATTTCCACCACATCTGAAGTTACTTCCTCCACTGAAGTCTTGAACCCCTCAAAGTCATTAGTGAGGGGCTGGATCAACTTCTTCCAAACTCCTGTTAATGTTGATATTTTGACCTCCTCCCATGAATCATGAATATTCTTAATGGCATCTGGAATGGTGAATCCTTTCCAGAAGGTTTTCAATTTACTTTGCCCAGATCCATCAGACGAATTACTATCTATAGCAGCTATAGCCTTACAAAATGTATTTCTTAAATAATAAGACTTAAAAGTCAAAATTACTCCTTGATCCGTGGGCTGCAGAATGGATGTTGTATTAGCAGGCATGAAAACAACATTAATCTCCTTGTACATCTCCATCAGTGCTCTTGGGTGACCAGGTGCATTGTCAATGAGCAATAATATTTTGAAGGGAATCTTTTTCTGAGCAGTAGGTCTCAACAGTGGGCTTAAATTATTCTGTAAACTATGTTATAAACAGATATGCTGTCATCCAGGCTTTGTTGTTCTGTTTATAGAGCACAGGTGGAGTAGATTTAACATAATTCTTAAGGGCCCTAGGATTTTGGGAATGGTAATAAGCATTGGTTTCAACTTAAAGTCACCAGCTGCATTAGCCTCTAACAAAAGAGTCAGCCTGTCCTTTGAAGCCAGGCATTGACTTCTCCTCTCTAGCTAAGAAAGTTCTAGATGGCATTTTCTTCCAATATAATGCTATTTCGTCTACATTGAAAATCTGTTGTTTATTGTAGCCACCTTCGTCAATTATCTTAGCTAGATCTTCTGGATAACTTTCCGCTTCACCTTGCACTTTTATGTTATGAAGACAGCTTCTTTCCATAACCCTCATGAACCAACCTCTGCTATCTTCATACTTTTCTTCTACAGCTTCCTCACATTACTCAGCCTTCATAGAATTGAAGAGAGTTAGGGCCTTTTTCCGGATTAGGCTTTGGCGTAAGGGAATGTTGTGGCTGATTTGATCTTCTGTCCAGACCACTAAAACTTTCTCCATTCAGCAATAAGGCTGTTTTGCTTTCTTATCATTCATGTGTTCACTGGAGTAGCACTTTTAATTTCCTTCAAGAACTTTTCCTTTGCATTCACAATTTGGCTAACTGGTGCAAGAGGCCTAGCTTTTGGCCTATCCTAGCTTTTGACATGCCCTTCTCAGTAAGCTTAATCATTTCTAGCTTTTGATTTAAAGTGAGAGACTTGTGACTCTTCCTTTCACTTGAACACTTAGAGGCTACTGTAGGGTTATTAACTGGCCTAATTTCAATATTGTTGTGTCTCAGGGAATAGGGAGGCCTGAGGAGAGAGAGATGGGGGAATGGCTGGTTGGTGGAGCAGTGAGAACACACAGCATTTATCAGTTAAGTTCACTGTCTTATATGGGTGGGGTTTATGGTGCCCCAAAACAATTACAGTAGTAACATTTAAGATCAATGATCACAGATTACCATAACAGATACAATAATAATGAAAAAGTTTGAAATATTGTTGAGAATTACCAAAATGTGACACATAGACAGGAAATGAGCACATGCTGTTAGAAAAATGGCACCGACAGACTTACTGGACACAGGGTTGCCACAGACATTCAATTTGTAAAAAACACAATATCTGCAAAATACAATAAAGTGAAGCACAATAAAACGAGGTATATCTGTATTTGTAATGACGTGGGATGCGGGCATTAGTAGGGTGTCATGCAGGCACTGGGGAGGCAGGGAGTGGCCTGGGAGAGCTTCGGGAACGGTTCAAGTTGGACTGGAGTCTTGAAGGGTTAGCAAAGTTTGCCTGTTAGGTCGAGGAGGTAGGAGGGATACTCCCAGCAGAGGGGTGGCGGGAGTCCCCTGAAGCACCGGTGAGTGAGCATTACTGTGGGAGGAGGCTGCTTCTCTTCTCCAAGCTTCAGTGCCTGTGGTCTGAGATAGAGGTGTCCGAGGTGGGGCCGGTGGGGCCGGAGAGGCTGAGACTGGATGTCAGCCCCCAGGACAGGAGTGCTTTCATCTGTCCAGTGGGGTGTCAGGCTGCCCTGTCACTTACGACCCAGTCTGGTTCAGAAGTCTTCGATCCACAGCCTTATACAGCTGAAGAGAGGCGTCGGAGATCCTGGGGTCTGCCCGTCCTCACTTGACAAACAAAGGTTGGGCCCAAAGAGGCCCCAGGCAGTGGTGGGCTCAAGGGAACTGGCCTGTGATTCCTAGCTCAGGCCTGCTCACCTGCCTCCCATCGTGCCGATGGCGACAACAGGAGCGACAGGCTGGCTACATGGCGAAGTCAGGTCCAGGTTGTGGAGGGATGTGCTGTGCTATTCCTGGTGTCCCCACCTCACCTCACCACCTTCAAGGATGACAATAATGATGGGGCTGAGATGATGAAGACCATGATCGACTAATGTCGGTGGTGGCAAGAGGGGTGGGTGCCTCTCCACAGGCAAGTGGGACTTCCTGCCTCTGCCTTAAGCCTGGGGTGAGGCCTGGCAGGAGGGTACGTGTAGGCTGTGAGGTGGTCACCTCTGCACTGCACAGTTGGTGTTTAAGCGCTTTAGGCTCAATGCGGACTTGTCTTCAAAACCTTGTCCTTTCTTTCTGATTCTGGGTGGGGGACTCTGCTGGGTTTTTGCAGTTGACCCAGTATGCCTCACCTGGTTATTACTGGTTGTGTAGAAAGGGCTAAAACATACATTCACCATCAAATTGAAAACTATATGTTTGTGTGTATTCGTGTGTGTGCATATATACACTGTGTGTGTGTGTACATATATATACTGTGTGTACATATATATGTTGTGTATATACGTACATATATACAGTGTATCTGTGTATATGTACATATACACTGTGTCTCTGTGTGTATATGTACATATATACACTTTTGTGTGTACATATATACAGTATGTGTGTACTATATATACTGTGTGTGTGTGTAAATGCATAGGAATGAAATTATTATCTCTGGGAGGGGAGTGGCACTGAAGAACTTTAGTATTTTATTTTAAATGCTTTTATATTTAACGTACTTTGTTATTAAACAATTTAATGTTATCCATGTTTTTAAAAAGGTAAAAAACAAAAAAAAGAAACCCTCTGTGTATAGCAGTGGCTTCCAACTTCAGTGTTTGGTATGACCTAGAGGGCTTGTTAACCCAGATTGCTGGCCCCATCCCTGGAGTGTTTTCAGGTCTGGGGAGGGCCTGAGAATCTGCATCTCTAACAAGTTCCACACGATGTTGGTGCCGCCAGGGACCACATTTGAGAACCTCTAGAGACTAAGAGAGGGTCTAAATGATGTTAGTGTGCATTTGCAGCAGCTGTCTGTGAAGAGTCGTAAAAACTTCTCTCTCCCTTAACCTGTTCCTTTTTCCCGAGCGTCTCCCTCACCTGTGTCAATGTATTGTCTCTTGGCAGCAAGGAAGACCAACAAACAGGTGTTTGTCAGCTATAATCTTCAGAATACAGACAGCAGCTTCGCATTACTTGTAGAAAACAGGATCAAGGAAGAAATGGACGCTTTTCCAGAAAAGTTCTAGCTGAGTGGCAGAAGTGAGGATTTATAACTTATGTACAATATCAGTTTAAATAAACGTATTGAATTTCACAGTCTGATGCTTATTAAGTTGTATGTTTAAATTTTGTTTTTGAAGGGTAGTCTTATAACTTTCCTTCTTCCCCTCACCAGGGTTGGGGCCAAAGGCTCATACCGATCCATATGGGGTAGGAGACAAGCCAAATGGGCAGTAAACGGTCTTCCTTTGAGCGCTCAGTGGTAGAAGGGGTTAGGATGGGGTTTTGTTGGGATTGAAGCGGGCTAATCCAATAATCCGAGAGTGTTTACATGAGCTATGGCTCTGTTAAATTGTGTATACTCCAATTAGAATTAAGGCAATACTTCTAAAACATCCTGGGGGGTGTGTTTTCCCGAGGCCTCTGTCTGCCTGTGAGTGGAGGCTCACCCACCCCCTCAGTGCTTCTCTCTGGCACCACTCTCCCTGGGCCTGGTTTGTGCGCCAGCTCCACAGCTTACTCCATGTGTGGTCCTGTTTCCTAACCTATGATGGGAATAACAGCATTCACCTTGCTGGGTTATCTTTAGGATTAAATATATAGAAATGCTCTGTAAACCTTAATTGCCATGGCAATTAAGATGCCCATTATGGTTTTCTGTCCTCACTCACATGGAGCCAAATGCTCCTCCTTTCTCTTCCTGATACCTTTCCATCGTCTTCCCTTTTTATCCCAAGTCCCAAGCCAACGCTTTTGTCATCTGTAAATGGATTCCAGGCTACTAGTACCATAGGCTGCACATTTTCTTTCACATCCTCCCCCAAAGCAGCATGTCAGGGATCAGTGGCTCCTGACCCAGTTCACAGAGGAGCTTTCACAGACTTCCGCTACCTTGCCCCCCACCAGATTCTACGGGTCCTGGCTGGGATCTGGAGATTGGAAAAGCTGCCCTGGTGCTTCTACATGCATGTAGGTTGAGAATCGCTGGCACAGGGCTTTCTAACCTTTGGGGTATATCTGGGTCCCTCTGTGACTAGATACGAGTCAGTGCCCTGTAGCACATCTTGTGCCACAGCAGCAATCTTGTATTAGCCAGTGGTAGGCACCCAGGTGGTGACATGAGCAAGGTGTTCAGAGGAGCAGGTCTGGGGTTCGAGAGTGCACACCTGCAGACATCCGTGCTCCTTGGAGGGCTTCAGCCAGCACAGGCGCAACTTGGAAAGCACAGGGTTGGCCTCTCTAGGAATAATAAGTAACACGACTCGGCTAGCGAGAGAAGAGTTTGGTATAAATACTTTATTAAAGAAATACTGTTTTCTGGTTAAAAAATACTACATTAGAGAAGAATTTTGGGTTATTCGTCTTTCCTCGCAAGTCACAGTGTAAGATGCTGCCCTGACCTCTCTGGGAGCCCTCAGGCTGGATCAGCAGAACATAAATAACAAGAAGAGAAAAATCCTAAATCTGATGGCCACACGCTTCTCGGGTGGTCTGAGAATAGTACTAAATAAACAGCCTGTGTTCATTCCAGTCTCTGCTTTTAAGACGAGGACTCCCCACACAAAGTGAGAGGCACCTGTCCCTCTTGGGGCTGGAGTGAGGACGGTTTACAGCAGGTTAAAGCAGTGACGCTGGGAGAGCGGGATCAACATGGAGGGTTTTATTACTCATAGGCATGGCAGGAAATGTCCTTCACTGGAGGCCACCAGATGAGGTAGGGAAGACATTCCAGAGGAAATTGGTTAATGGGGCAGCATTTTTATTTCTGTACATTTACATACAATTTTTCCCCAAGGTACAACAGATGTGACATCATGCAGACATGTAGCTTTGCAGACAGTTCTGAACTCAACAGGCTTGTGCTGAGTGAGCCCCACCAGACCCATGGCCACCAAACGCACAGCAACAGTTCTCAGGGAAACCTCGGCAGGAGTGGGCTACAGGATGGGGAGGGGAGCGTTCCCCGCTAGACGGAACACATTACTGCCTTCCTAAAACATAACACAGTACATTAACATGAGGTTTTGTTCTTGAAAAGAAAGACGAAGGTGAGGTGTGGGATCCCCAGCATGTAGTGATGGGAGAGTCACAAAGTTCAGTAATGGCACTTCCAGTTCAGTGATTGCTTGTGTGGCTCTAGGAAGTAGTCATGTCCGAGGGCAGGACTTCCTGTGCCTGTCTAGTGTTGCTTTCTGTTCTGGGGCCAGACCCACTTACTAGCCCCTTTCCTCCAGTAGCAGATGATTATGCTCTTTTAGAAGACAAAACATTTAAAACTTTCTCCTGTTGTCCCTAGTGCTAATATTTAGGGTAGTTGATGGGAATTATTGACATCTGGAAAAGAACAAATGAAAGATCGAGCCCTGTCTCAGCTGTTCACATTTGTGCATAACTTTATGGGAAGGGGATTGAAGCTCCCTGATGGTTTAGGAGGTAGGGTGCACAGAAAGGAGATAGAAGGGGGAGGAGCTGGGAGTACCCGTCTTGGTACTTGGGGTGTTGTCCCTGGAGGTGGAGGGCTGACTTGACGTGGCATGTGCCTGAGAAGGAACCAGGACTGCTGAGCTTCAAGCATAACCGGGTGTAGGCCAGCTCCGTGCAGGACAGGCAGGACCAGATGTGGTTTGGCCTGTGTTCCCCCCCTGCTATCTTACTTGGGTGGCATGGGCTCTGCCCTCAGGGGAGCTTTCCTGCTTTGGCTGCATTTAGTAAACTGTCCTCAAGAGCCTCAGCTGTCCCTCCGTGGAGTTGGCCAGCAGAACAGCTCTACCCCATCCTTGAGGCTGCCCAGACTGGAGAGCTCACAGCTCGCAGCTCTCCTTGCTGAGATGCCACCTACCGGACAGTCACTCTGAATAAAATCTGCAGACTTTGGTTAAAGGAATATCACTTTCCTCTGTACCAAGAGCCCGGACTCAAACCTAGCTTCTCTCCTAGCCCTTTGATGACTGGGTCCTAACTGCTGAAGTGCTTAGCCTGGTCTTTGGTGGACTGTTTCTATTGTCACCATTTGAGATGGAGATCAGAGATCTGGGGACAGAAGTTCTAAGTGCTATGCCTTGCCACCTCCTTCCTAGAGGGCACTGCAGCTTGCTCTAGCTTCAGGACGTTTCTTAAGAAGCTCTACATGATCAGTTTGTGAGTGCTCACGATTCCTGCTGTCTACAAGTCTTTCTGTAGTACAGTAAGTGGATCGTAAGGTGTCCTGTGCTGAGGGTGCCTGGGAGCGGCTCCGTCTACCTGCCCTGGTCACCACCTGGCCTGGCTGTGTATATGTCACGTGCTGCATGTAAGGAGTTTGCTGCCAGGTGGCTTTGTAGCAAGGACTCTAAAAAAGGCAAAAGGTATTTCACAAGTTTGGCACGCGAAGCTGCCCACATCTAAACAAAGGCCTTTTTAAAGGTGAAGGCAGACTAACATTGAAACATGGAACAGAAATGACTCAGGAGACCAGGGCAGGCAAGGGTGAGTGGGCACGGAGTGGGTCAGCTGAGGGGGCTGGCCCGATGACCACCCCTGGCGGAGCAGGTGGCTCTGGAGCAGCTCTGACTCCAGACATCAGCTACGAGACGAGTCCCAGTGCCTCAGAACAGTCTGTGTGTCTAGTCAGGGGTCTCCCACTGGCGCCTGCACTGTCTTTGGAGGAGAACCAGTAAGCACAGAGCAGATAAAATCAGGAAGGAGAGAAAAGGCAGGTGAAGCTACCTCCTTTCTGCCCTTTTGAATACAGCTACCATCAGTTGGAAGTTATCGAATTGTTTAACAGAGGCCCCTGTCCCAGCTTCTCTGGAGGACAAAAAGTGCGCACCACTAAGGGGCAGGTGAGCAGAGGAGGCTGGCTCAAGACCCTCTGAATTCTGGAAGAACCATGGCTGTCTGAAGAAAGCCGTTGACTGCTGCTACAAAGAGGTATCCACCTGAGCCAGGAGGGCTGTTTCTCAGAGGAATCAACTGTAAGTTCTAGTGGCCCCCGAGGGTCCTGGAGGAAGCCCTCCTACAAGTTCCCACCGAGCCACCCCTTCAGACAGATCGATAAAGCTTGACCTGGAAAGGCAAGAAGAAACCCTCCTTGTCTGGGACAAAATTAGGAGCAAACTGAAAACCCTTGGCTTACAGGCAGGAGGAGGGAGTGGAGCTTTGGTTGATTATTGCTTTCCTTGTTTGTCTTGGTGCTCTTAAGAGACTGGCTGTCCAGCAGACTCTCCTGTGAGACGTCCCGCTCCTCGCCCTGTGCCCACTTCTGCACTGACAGAGGGACAAGCAGAGAAGTGGGCCACAGGAAGATACTGGGAACAACACGGTTCTTGAGGGTTCGCCCAATAGGCGCCTTGTCTCTGGGCATGGCGTCAGCGAGCCGACAGGTGTCCCAGCTGGTGATTTTCTGCATGGCGTGTGCTCCAGGTGCGGGTGACAGGGAGTCCCCCTCCTGTGGATGTGCGTTAGGAGTGTATTTCAGTTTTTTTCCTATTTTTAGTTCAGGAAGTAGCCATGTTTTCAAGTAGTGCTGGCAAAAAAGCTGATCGTGAAGGAGAGAATTCTTCTGCTGGAGCTAAATCTGGGAAGTTGTATTAACAAAAATCAAAATGTCTCAGACCCCACCACATTTGTTCTGCACATAATTAGGCAAACCTGGTGTCAGAAAAGCTGTGGTGCTATTGCCACTGGTCATTTGAGATTTCTAATGAAATGTCTAAACTTTTCCCAAAAGAGGTTCTGGCATTAAGTACAAAAGGATGATCCTGAAGAAAAGACTAAGCTGGTTTTAATGATATTTGTGAACTGCTTTCCCCCAAACACGTGGAACAGAAGTTCTTACCTTACAGATAGGAAAAAAAAAAAAAAAAGACCTTTTAAAAAACCATATGCAGACTCTCTAGCAAAAGCTACATAATGTACATTTCACCCCGTCTAAAGTGCGGTCCCAGAGGTGGTTGGGATAGCGCTGTGTCTTGTACAGGGCGGGCGCAGCCGGGGCCACAGTGCAGGGAACTGCTGGTTCTCCTGAGTGGGGTGGGGAGCAAGAAGACAGGCCGCTGCTGTTGGCTAGTGAAGGATCTTCCTTGGAAGGGCTGTCGCTCTTCCCACAGAGGTGGTCTCGTGTGTGATCAGCAAGAGGAAAGGGAATAAAGTGCTTCTTGTAAAAATGACCAAAATAAATACAAACATTTAATGGCAGAAAAGAAAGTCTTTGAAGGGT